TTTTTTTTTTTTTTTTTTTTTTTTTTTTTTTTTTTTTTTTTTTTTTTTTTTCTTATCTTCTTCTTTCAACTATAGTTATCACTACTTCTTTTGATACAGTAAACTTTTATTTTTCTTTGACTGTATATATATACATGCCATAGAAACTAGTGTAATACATAATAATCGTGTTTTAATAATCTGTACAGGCGCTCCTTTGATAAATAATGAGCATTGCATACAACAGTAAGTGATGTACCACGTATTTCCTAGATGTATATATATCGTTACTCGGATAGCTTTACAAAAAATTTTGATACAGTTTCTCGATGAGTATATATTTTCGATGTTATTGTCATAAATGAGATTTTGCCCCGGCCTATATACTTTTACTCGTGTTTGCTGTTGCAATGGAAAAAAAAAAAAAAAAAAAAGAAAAAAATGTTCATCCCTTTATTACGCATCCTCGAAATAACACGTATCAAGCAAAACTCGCAACGATACGGAAAAAAACGGAAAAAGTGGGCTCTCGGATGGAACAAAGTACTTACACAGAGCGCGGCGCTGCTATGCTCTTCCCCTTGTCTCCCGAGTCGGAAAAGGAAGAGAAATCTTGTCGAGCAAACGTCGAGATCGAAGAAAGAGAACTCGGCGGGAGGGTGCACAGGAGGAGGAGTCACTCCCCCTTTTGTTCCTCTCTTTTGTCGAGGAGGAGAAGGGGGATAAGCCACGACGTCGCTGATTAATACGGTTTACCAGTAAGTGTAACGGAGTGTGCAAAACGTCAGTACATAGACACGTCCGCGTACGAGAGGGCCGCCATGGTCGGGCGCCACCACCCACTCGGCTCCCCTTCCTGCCCGACGCGCGCGCGCGACGAACCAAACGCCGGCACGTGCCGATCAATGGCGCCTCTCTCGCTATTGGCCAAGGCACCTCCTCCTCCACCACCACCTATACCTACACGCGACCACCACCTTCTTCGCCACTTCACACACAATACAGTATAGCCTCGGTGGGCGAAGAAGAAGAAGGCTGTTCTTACAGGGCGCATTGATTGCCGACAAACCTCTCCCTCCCCTACCAACGTATACGTGCCCAAGGATATCCCCCCCTGCTCTCCCGGCGAAGATTGAAAATCAAGCCCGCTCCACCTCCGCGTGCGTGTGTGCGCCGCAATAATAAGATTCTTTTGGCTTTGTTTTGCGCAAGTATGCGGTGTTAATAATATGTACTCGTTACTCGAGCGGACAAACATATACAACCACGAGAACGATAACTGATCCGCGATAGGGGCTGGCCCAACTGAATCTACTGCTCGTTAACTGCCATCCGTGAACCGTCCATGGGTATACGTGACTCGCACTCAAGACAATAGATGTATAAGCCCCCGATCCCGCAACTCTGAATTGCATATGTTTGCTTTCGTGTATGTAGTATGTACATGTATATTATACGCCCTCCCTACTATAAATGTAGCCCGGCCCGAGGCCCATCACCTATCATGTATATATACCTCTCGAAATCGAGCAGGCCCTATATAATAATAATAATATATTATCGTAAGTATGTACAGGCTACCGTGTTATAATATATACTGGTAAATACGATAATCTCTCTATACAGCCGCGTCGCGTCTATTCCGAGGTTAATCTATACTTACTCGCACAATCAAACTATACACTCGCATACAAAACAGAGACATACATCGTATCATCATCATGTGACGCGCTTCAAGTATAATATATAATGTAACGTATTGAAGCTTAAGTGTGTGCCGCCGTTGAGGAAAAAAGGATATCTGTGGGGGTGTGGTAGCGGTATATGAAGTATATACGAAGTGGAGGAGAGCGGACGAGTATTGGTATTGTCTCAGGCAGGGGCTGGCTCGGGGGCTCGCTCCAACTACGGCTCCTCCTTGCCGGGTGGCAACTGGTGCCCGATCCCGGGGTGCAGGTGGTGAGCCGCGGCGGCGGCGGCGGCGGCGGCAGCGGCCACGGTGCTCGAGCCCGAGGGGTGGTGGTGGTGGTGGTGGTCGACGTGGGGCCGTCGGGAGAGACCGAGGAGGGGCGGCAGGAGGGGCAGAGGCAGGGGTGGGAAGTGGAAGCCGGCGGCGAGGCCGCCGAGGAGGGCCGAGGCCGTGGTGTGCTCCTGGGCCTTGCGGCGCAGCTCCGCCAGGCTGGTGCTCCGGTGGAGCTCGGTTATGCCGCAGGTGCTGTTGGCCGCGCTGCTGACGATGGACTTGTTGGTGCAGCAGCCGCAGAGGCCGCTCGTGCAACCGGCCCAGCCGGCCGGCGACCAGGAGAGCATGTCCTGGAGGCTGGTCGGGGCCGCGCTTGGGACAACGCGGCCCGAGTCGGTTGCCGTGCCGCTGCTCCAGAGGGACGGGGCCGCCGAGGCGAGGGAGCTCGGGGAGCTCACTTGGAGCTTCGCGCCGAAGAGCGGGGGCGAGAACTGGGCGGCCAGGTGCGGGGAGAAGAAGAGGGACGTCGCCGCCTCCACTGGACGGAAGCCCCCTGTGCCACTCGGTGCGCTGAAATCAGAGGGAAAAACCAAGCGGCAGGGCATTAGTATATACATTTATAACAAGATGCTCCTTCTTCTTCGTTATTTCGTCCCTCTCTATTTCAATTATAATTCTTGCAGAATTGCTAGAAATTTTTTTTTCCCCCGACTCGCGTATTTTGGCCATTCAAGCTCGATTAATTCAAGCAAACCCGATTCCAAAGTTGACGATAAAAACCATTGTCGCGCCTCCGCGTGAAAGGTACAAAAATCGTGTATAACGTACCCGTCAGCGCGCGACAAACAGACAAACAGTTCAAGACCCGGACGCGGGAACAAAGAAAAGTGCGGGGAGGCCTCCAGCCCCCTAACTCAAATGACACTCCATTAAAGTCCCGATGAAAAATTCAATGCCGCGACGGTCGCGGTGGCACTTTTTCCCCCTTGAAGGTAGCTTTGCGTGTGAGGGGCACACGAATGGTGTACGTATAATAGTCGTCGCGCAGCGGGGAAGGACACGAGCCGAGGAACAAGCCAAGAGGAAAGATCCAGCATCCAGATAAGAGAGAGAGAGACACGATATATGTAGAGGTGACTCCTGAATAAGCCATGAGGGAAGCGCGTGTGCATTTAACCAGCGGACCGAAAGGAAAGAAAAAAATATCTTTGTATATACGCGTAAAAGGTGTGGAAGGGGGGGGGGGGTGGTTTTTAAATAAATTACGCGCGGGTCGGAAAAGTAAATGGCGCGCGGATCCGGAGCTGCGAAAGCGGTGGTCTCACCTCTCGGCGGGTGGTCCCCCGGCCTGGAGCTGCTCGGCGACCGTCGTCAGTCTCCGCTCGGTTGTCAGCGTCTGCTGCTGAGGCGTGGGGGTGGGTGTGGGCGTCAGCTGGAGGGGCTGGGGCGAGGCCGAGGAGCCGGGCGTGGGTCCGTGGCCCGTCGGCCGGGGACTGACCGAGGCCGACGTGGTGCTCGGGCTCCGGGAGCCACTGAGGCCCTCCTGGCCCGACGAGCCCACCGGGCCGTCCTCGTTGTTGTTGCTCAAACTTGTGTCTTGGGGATTGTTGGCGCTGCAGGCTAGCGAGGGGTTGTTGGGCTCGGAGGTGGGGCCCTCGCGCTTACGCTGCTCCTCCTTCAGTCGCTCGCTTTTTCGCCACTTTGCTCGCCGGTTCTGGAACCATACCTGCAACATGGCAAACACAGTTTTTTTTTTTTTTTTTTTTTTTTTTTTTTTTCTTCAAGCCCGTTTGTAATTTTGCACTGTATACCTAATAAGTATACCGAGCAGCTAAATAACAAAAAGGTGCAGGAAAACTTTGAATTTTATCAATCCTTTGGAAGGTAACATGTGATGAGTTTCGCAAGTCACGACGCAGCGATCGAGAGACACAACAGAGATAATCGAAATTTGCATGAATAATCGCTCAAAAATCGCGTAAAAATACCTCATATTCACGAATGGGGAAATAAATAATAGGAGGGGGAAGGAAAAAAAAAATTTTTAGCTAAAAAAAAACGCCCATGTCGAGCAACAGAGGATTGTACAAGACGTACATCATATACATTGTACAGACATATGTATACGAGGAGGCATCTGCCCGTATATATACATATAGAGACATATAGTCGACGTCAGGTCAAAGAACGGCCTTGCCGAATTTGAGTTCCACCTCCGCGTCCTCGCGTTCCTCGTCCTTCCCTCGCTCTCACGTATATATGTATATATACCTACTCGAGTCTCTCGTTCCGCGCACCAGCGCGCCTCTCTGCGGTGCTCTCTCTCTCGTGCACTTATGTAAAACGAGTGTCGCGCGCGCTTGCCTAATTACAAGCCCCGCAAACAACAACAACAACAACAATGACAACAATGATGATAATCGTCCACATACCGTTGATGCATTACCATAAAACACAAAACCGCTACTTTTTGCGCCATCCGTGCAGTGACAAATGGAAAAATAAATAACAAGACGAAAACAGCCGAGGCCCGCGGTAATGATGANTTTTTTTTTTTTTTTTTTCATTTACATCGATGACAGCGTTTGTGACTTACTGATCAATGTATAGGACTTTCACATGAATGAACAGTGATCCATATCTTATTCAAATTTAAAAATACATTCGTAACATTGTAATACACTCAAATTCTGCCACTTGTTCAACCCTCTGTTGCATAAATTTTGATGCGGTCACTTGAGAGCTCTTAAAAAGTGTTGACTTTCAGCTGTCTAATAAAATAAAGGCATTTTTCAAGCATATAACTAAACTTTTGTATTTAAGACACGGCTACTATATACTTTTCAGCAGAGTATCATATACTTACATTTCCCAAAAAATGTAATGATGATACGTACTTTCATATAATATTGTCATTTTTATACGTTAATTTTTATATTATATTTGACTGGTTTGTATTTAAAGAGCAAGTTTTCACTGACTTTTTATTTAAAAAAGCACATACGGACATGGTTAAAAAAAAGAGTACAAGATATTTATATATGTGTAGTAGTTGAATGAAAAAGTAATATTTTTGTACGATTCCGTTGAAAAATTTAGACACGAGTTGAAAATAGGACGAAAAATTTTTTAGAAAACCCACACAGAAAATGAGAAAAAAAAAAGACAATTTAAAATCACGAAAGCCCAGATAGTATATTAACCAGAGAAGTAGAGCTACGCAAAACAAAGCATTCATTACCGATACTTCTTTTTGACGGGTTCATCAGAGAGAACAGAGGGAAAAGGTCGCGCATGCTTAATGGGCCGAGCAAAGACTCACTCGAGTAGGTAGTTGTTCGGTACATAACGTGCCTAACATGACATAATCTCGGCTAAAATAGAGTTTAATTAAAGTTTCCTCGGCTCTTCCACACGTTTTCTCTCTCTCTCTCTCCCCTTATATTGTGAGTAGGTATTCTTCTCGTGTCTGATGCTCGAGTCGAGTGTCAAGGAGCTGCCGCGAGCGATACTCACTGTGTGTACGTATTATGCACAGTTACCGTGCGCGCACTGTGCAGTACGTACCTTTTACGTGTATGTGTGTGTGTGTGTGTGTGTGTGTGTGTGTGTGTGTGTGTGTGTGTGTGTGTGTGTAACCCAGTGTGTGGCCAAGTGGCAAAAAATTGAAGGAAAAAAATGTGCTCGAAACATACCATATAAAAAAAAAATGAAACGCTATTCTTAACTGTGATTAATGTATCGAGCGTCGACGTAATGAGTTCGCAGAAATTAATTGTTCGTGGAAATTAATTATTAAGTGGATGTGTCAAGGGCTTTCGGACGTACATTTACTGTACGCAGGAAGATTTTATTAATACGTTCGTTTGTTTCTCAGTTTTGATTCGGGGGAATTAATGATAACGAATATTGGAGAGGCTTTTTTTTTTTTTAATTATGTTTAACATTTTTACTCGTTATAATTATCTACGTGATACAATATTGTATTTTTGTAAACAATAATAATTCGGACTTAACTTGAATTAGGTGAAGCACAAAAGATTAGTTGGTTTTTTTATTTGTTAAATCAGCACTTGTATACAATTGTTTCCACTGCATTAATAAAAAAAAAAAAAAATAAAAAAAAAAAAACTGATACCAATATTCTTTTTACGAGGCAAAGTATCATGCTCGAGAGTTAAGGAAGAGGGAAAATGTTGCCTAAAATGCCCTCGTCGTCTTACGGAATTGAATTTCCCGACCTCTTGAATTCGAGGCAGACTCGAGCCGGGCGCGCCTACATACAAGGTACTGCTTGACTTTTATTGAACTTTATTTGCGGCCGTACTTCTTGCCTACACGAGGGGTAATTCGATACGCGAAATCGCCGAGACAGTTACAAATGTTATTGAAAAAATTTCGCTCGCAAACAAATTTAATTCCGAGTGTAAACTCTTCGGTACGTATACGTCCGAGTAAAATTGGCTGCAACGCGAATGTTCCTCATTGTAAACTGCGGGAAAAAAAAAAAAAATTTAAGCGAATATGCAATCATACTAATAATAAAAAACAGCTTCAATTATTCATGGTTTTCATTTGTTCAAACAATTGACTTTCCTACTGTTATTTAATAAATATATTAAATTAATTAGTAGCAGGCAACTAATTTTTCTAGGTATAAACAACTAATTTACTTATTCTCATTAAATAAATGGTTATCGTAAAAATAAGTAAAACAAAAAAGAACCAACCGAAACCTAACAATTTCTTAGAGCCAATAAACCAATTTATATTTTTATCACTGTCATTAAAACTTTTCCCCATCAGATTTCTTGTTTACTAAATTGAAAAAAAAGTTTCATTTGGACAAAATAAATATTCTTTAAAATCAAAAAATGTGAATTTAAATAAAAATAGTAATTTCTTCAAACGCACAAAGTAGCTATACATGACATGGAGAAAAGCACGAGTTGAGAGAGATGGGGGGGGGGGAAAGAGAGTTTGAGAGGGAATCGTACAATGTGCCTCTGTTATACAATACGTATACGTTTGAAAAGTTTCTCCGGAGGCTCAGCAAATGGTTTAATAAAATAAATAAGACGAGCCCCGTCTTTCCACCCTTACCTCTTACAGCGGCTGACCCGGAGGGGGCTGCACAGCTCGCTGGCGCTGTCTTATAAGACGAGAGATGACGGCTCGGAAAATGAAAGGCGAAAAGAATAAGTCGGATATGAAAAGGAGGAGGAGGAGGAACGACAGAGAGGTAGAAAAGAGGGAGTCTATATATACATATATATATATATATATATGCACTTACTTAGCCCGTGGTGCAGTATATATAGCTTTCGAGTGGAGCGCGCGCGCGCCAGTACTGCCGCCAGACGGCCAGATATAATAATATATATCCTAAGGGTTGCCAGGACGAGTAATAGCTGGGAACAAAGCCGCGATTCCCCCGAGATCTCTCTCTCTCTCTCTCTCTCTCTACCCCCGCCCATCTGTGGAACGTTGAATTTTAACCCCACTTTTACTCCTCCATCCACCCCCGACGCTACATGTACTTATCCATCTTGCCTCTCCTGCTACATGGACTTACGTACATAAGCGAGCTTCCTATTTTTTTTTTTTTTTTTCCCCATTCGAGATGCGAATTTAATCCGAAACATGTTTAAAGCCGTTCGGCCCTTGCTCGCTCGGTGGCCGTCGAAATATCTTTAAATTCTACTCGCGAGAGGGGGTCTCGGGCCTTGAAGAAAATCACGATGCCATTTGTCTTGCGGCCCGACTTATGGTGTCAGCGTCAATAAATAATAATGTGTTTGTTCATCTTTCAAACGGGATTACTCCAACTGGCTTATTTTATTTCATTTTTTATTTTATTTTTTTCTTCTTCTTCTTTCCCACCAAGTATAAGTTAATGGACANGAATGAGCCTTCGCGGACTTTTGGTCGATCCTCCGTTGTTTAGTTGTACGTTTATTTGCGTTTGGTTGTGATTTTTACCGCCACCAATGACAAATTATGAATGCGAAATCATTCGATTGGAACTGAAACTCATGGCAAAAAGATGAAGAAAAAATGCACAGGCACCAAGGGCTGAGTTTTTTTTTTTTTTTTTTTTTTTTATTTTTAAAAAAAAAAAAAAAAAAACAGAGTCTCAAATAAAAAAAAAAAACAAAAAAAAATCACAGTTGTTGGGTCTCGAACTCGTTCCTGGCATAGCCACGTCGAGGTGACCTCAGGTGCAACCAACTGCACCCCAACCGTACTTGAGTAAGAGGTCAATAAAAAGATTACACACCTTAGATCTTATTTTTGTTTATACTTGTATTCAAATTAGTAATGAGTAAATGTCACTTTACTAGACTGGATTCTTTTTCCTTCTTTCTCGTTAAACAAGTGAATCGACAGAAGTAAATTTCTTTTGTAGAGTTTACATTTTCAACGTTTTGATACAGTAGAGTTGTTAAAAAAATTGTATAAATTGGTTTTTATAAATTTGAATGGACAATGGCTTTTTCTTATTTTTCTCAAGACGTACATGCGCAAAATTTTTTTGACTCCCGATTGATGGTATCGTACACGAAATTTCTTTAGCATTTCGGCCAATATACTCGGCAGCGGCAACTTTGACACTTTATACCCAAAATCCTCCCCAAGAGTATACGTATGTAATGCACACCACCAAAAAACAGATTAAATTTCGAGGAACTGCACCAATTTCATAACCGCGCCTCTCCCACCTCCCGCGCTAATTGAGAAATATGTAATTAAGCTGCCAAGGACTAACGCAGTAAGGTACAACGTACCCTTTTCAGATTCAACCCTTATACTTGTCTCTTTGGCATCGGTGTATAGATTCTCCTCTGGCAACCACAGGATGTTTAAAAAACATTTCCGACTGACAATTTGAGTCGAAAAAAAAGGCACTCCATTACCTAAAGAATCGAAAGTTACACTTGTAGGTACATCCATACGCGGGTAGCGCACGCGAAACGTGATTTAAGCAAATTGCGCTCGAGTGGAGGAGAAAGAGAGAGAGAGTTACGGGGAGGGAAAAAAAAGCCGTCAGCTGACGTATACATATATATTCGAGTTGCAGCAGAACGTGCCCTTCTCTCCCTTGCGAGGAGCTTCTAATTGGAGAGTGGGTACGTACAAAGAAGTCGGAGAGCCGGAGACGAGAGCGCAGCTTGAAGGACAAGACGTCTACCGGGTGTAGGTTGAGCGCGTGGGTATGTGCATCGGAGGGGTCGGGGTTGGAGTGCCTTGCGTGAACAGCTATATACCGTACTGTAAACGCGCCTATTTGTCCGTTATATACCGGATTCCCTTTGTCTCCGTTGCATACACATATACATCTCTAGTTAATGAAACAATGAGTCTGCGCCGTAATTGTACACTCGTCAGGCAGAAAATTGTGTAGATTGTGTACATTTACCGCGGGCGGTAGTGCTCAACATCGACGTGGTCCGGAGTCTGCAGTTCTCTGGTCAAACGGAGCCTCTTTACGGTACATATATATGCATGGTGCAGTGAATTTTATCTAAAATGACGATTAACTCGATAGAAAAAAAAAACATTTTCTTTCAAGTGCCATAGTACACCTCGTTGCGTTTCCTTTCATTTTTCATTGGACGCCGAACAAGATTGACCGCGGTATTTTCCAGTACCGAAACGGTAGGAGGAACGGCTTGAAAATTGCGCGATGCGATAGAAAAACAAAAAATGATAAAAAAAAAAAAAATAGCTCGCCAGGGACATCGAGGTGCACGTATGAAAGCAAAGGCACCGCGAGGGGGTGCGTTCGAAGAGAGATGAGCCGATGCGCGTTGCGCGAGTGAAATTTGATTTGGCTATTAAGCGCGTGGAAGTTGGGGGAGGGGCTCATCACGAAAGGGACGCGTAAAAGCAACACGGTAATCGCATTGCGCATGAGTGACTAATTCTCGTTAAAATGGTTAATAGACACCAATGGGAGGACATGTATGTGATACGCTGATGGTATTTCTCGTTTTTTTCCTACCTTCTCTTTTTTTCCAGTTTTCCGTTGTTCGACATCTGGAGCTCGCGATTTTTCATCCAATCTTTTTTTTTTATTGGGTAAAAAAAAAAGAAAAAAAATTCGAAGCTCGTATCGACCGCGCGTACTTTCGGATAGTATCGAGAGCAAAAGTTGAAACGTGACATGGATCAGTTTATAACTTTTGAGGGGCAAAATTTGTACCTCGCGATGAAGACCGGAATTAAATTTGTTGAAAGTTTTCGGGTCTAATCCAGCAGTTTAAATGTATGATGAGTATCCTTCTAATACGATTTAAAATACCTACGGAGCTAGGTATTTCGAAATTTAAATTTAAATTCGATAGTCATGATTCCGCTCCTTGGCAAAACGTAATTCAAGCTGTCTCTAATTTTTTTAAGTGTAACTTCACACACCCCATTTCGGCTTGAGTCGGTGCAGCAAGATTTAAAAAAAAAAAAATCACGCAGAGATTACTTTAGGTTGTGCTGTACATGATTATACTATTTCAACAACTTGTTTGATTGTCACAAGGTGAATGTGTTGCTAACTAATTAAGCAAAGCAATTTAACAAACGACTTAAATGATGGTGGGTTTTATAAAAAAAGTATTTTATAAAAAAAGAAATGTGTATGTTTTAAATAATCCCTAGTTCATTAAAATACAACTTGATGTTTTATTTTTCCAAGATTCTCTTTTCAGGGAAGCAAAAATTAATTATTACTTTTGCGCGAGACGCGACATTGGGCTCGGCAAATTGCACACCCAAAAGCCATTCGGCAAGTGCAGGCGTCACACGTGACGTGTAGTTGTTTACCGTATCCCGTGACACTTTTAATAGGCCACGTGCGGCAACTGCACCCTCAACGCGCGCACACGTGAGGTACACATACCCAGGGGATACGAGTGCAAGCGACAACACAATCACATCGCATGCAAAGTGCATACGTATAGGTAGATGGATCATATGGGCTTCGAATACCGCTCTTGAAGGACATGTTTACTCGACGACGACTTTGTTAATTTTTCAACCATGTGAAACTGTTTTTTTTTTTTTTTTTTTACTTAGATTAAACGCAACGACGAGATAATTTTTCAACTACAACATTCTAGCGTATGGTGAGACAAAAAAGTATCCCAAATCACCAGACTTGGTACATCTTGTGTTACAACCCTATTTTCTTATAGAAATATAATGCATTCATTTGTTCTACGAAATATTTTTTCTAGTAAAAACTTTGTAATAAACTTTACTTGCCCAAGATATTCTGTACAATAGTTGTGATGGAAAAAAAAGCTTTTAGGACATTTCAAAGTCTACAGAAACAATCGTACCCCAGTCGAGGCCAATCGTAACATTCAGTTTCAAGCGAATCACCGTTTCGTAATCCTCGTAATGACAAAAATCCAAGGAGGAACACTCTCGTTTCTCGAAAAACAATCGGGGGCCCCAATTACCTAATCGCCCCCGTTGAAAAATTCAGAGCACGAAACTCGCGAAAAAGGGGGTCCCTGAAGAGAGAGAGAGACGGAATAAGAATTGGATTTGCACCGCGAAAAAGGGCACGAGAGCGAGGAAAGAGGCAGCAACGGGGGGGGGGGGGGGGGAATGGGAATGTCGTCTATACAGCAGCTACTTATACAGAGCCATAGTTCGGGGGGGGGGGGGTAGGAATGGGCAACAATCTGGCGAATTACCGGCTTAGCTCGTCAGAAGATTACGCCAGGTCGAGGGTGTCAGCGAGACCCTCGGGGCCGCCGTGCTCTTGGGTGTGCAGTGCTACATACGCCATCTCGTTCTCACGCTCTCGGCCCCAACACCACCGCGAGCCTCCTGCTCATTATTATCATTATTATTATTTTTTCTCCTCTGCTTTTCCTTCCTTCTGTTCTCCACACATGTGCCCGTACCCACTTTTTTCCCCCCTTTCCTCCCACCGATGTGCTTCGCGGCTACTTCGACTTTTCCCCGACGGTGGGATTACCCACACCCCGGAATGGGATATAAATGACGTTTATGGACTTTGGATGTGTCAATTTTGCATCTTTATCGATGCGTTTGCTCATGCGCCACGTCGCGTGCTGCTTCTTCAACCAATGTTGCAACAATATAAAATCGTGGGGGGGGGGGGGAAATTTTTACCTGCACCCTCGCCTCCGTCAGATTGATTTTCATCGCCAGGTCCTCCCTCGTAAAAACGTCCGGGTAGTGGGTCTGAGCGAAGGCCGACTCGAGCTCTTCCAGTTGCTGGAGCGTGAAGGTCGTCCGGTTTCTCCGCTGTTTCCTCCTGACGAACGAGTCCTCGCCCACGCCGTGGAGTGCCGGGTGGTAGGCGGAGTAGCTGGCGTCTGAAATTCAACGATCGACCCATTAACAAAACATTTGCAGCCTTTGTATCGCTAATTTACGTGACACATGCACACGTTACTATGCCAGCTCGAGGTCTAAGGACGTTGGGCTTCACGTGCACTGTATGAGAGCCATTGGTGCGAATCTCAAATCTGTGCAGTGCCACCGTGAGATTGAACAGTAGTAATGCTTTATACTCTTTAATTGACAATACTAAACGGTACACAAATAAGTACAGTAGTTCGGGTGCCATGTGTATTACGGGTGTAATATGTACCCTACAAAGCACTTTTTTACTACTCTTTAACGTGTTATGAAATTCTTTTTGATGTAGTGTACACTGACTGTACGGTATATTTTTGCAATGAAATGCGCATCGTACGTGTAATACAAAGACAAGTTCATGTCGAAGTCAGTGTCAACCTAAATTAACGCAAACAGCATAATTTTTTACACTTACGAGAGTGCGTGAGAATGTATTATCAACGAGGAGCCAGAATTGTTTCCATCTGATGTACTCAAAAATAATAAAATAATACATTTTTTAATGCGTTTACGAGAAGCTCGTGGTTTTGGATCATCTTGCCGACGAAATTCTCATTCCAGCACTAAACAAAATCATCAACTACTTTTGGGTCTGTCATATCTCGCTATTGTCAATTATCTCAAGTTTAAATCATCGAATAAAAAATAGTGTTTTGAAAGAAAAAAAAAAAAAAAATTAAATTAAATAACAGGGATTTTTCGTTCTACATTGGACCGTTTCTCTCACATCGAAAGGGGTTGAGGTGGTAGTAATCGAATTCCCGGTCGATCGTCTGTCACTCGCACGTGAAATTGATCTACGAGCAGCCACGGCGGGAGGCAACGACAACGCGCTACTCGACACTTCCAAATGACATAATTGCACAGTGACACCGTTGGTAACGCGATAACTAGAGATTTCGAGCGTACGCCGCACGTATTGCAGTGCAGTGTCGACTTGACTCATCACTTTGCAAGCTATGTTTAAGTAGACAACTTGAGCATTTCCCTACGAGTACGTGATGCTCGATATTGTTAACTTTTATGTTTTTCAGCACAAAAGCATTACTTTTTAACAACATGTAACATGATTTTCTCCACAAGGGTGAAATATTTTCTTTCAAAGGAAAGGCACTGTTTTTCGATATTTCATGCGCAAAGGTTTTAACCCTGAATGCGTTCTCTTGTATTGCTGAGCAAATGCACATGGGAAGTGGTCACCAGTGAAATCGTGCACTCCGTGCAGCCACGAGACCCCGAATCGTCGACCCTCTCTGTGCGCGAAATCCAATTATTTATGCCCTGCACAAAGTGTTTAGAATTTTTTTAGTGCACTCGCTTTGACAATATCTTACGCGTTTTTTTGCACAACAAGGGTCGATGGAGTATATCGTACCGATTAATGGGTGCATGAAAATTTGCACAACAGTACATATACGTGAGGAAAAAATTGGAAAAAAGTCACGATCGGAGCCCCAACAACGCTACTCTGAGCCCCCGCAACGGTCGATAAAACGTGAAAAATTGAAAAAATACGATTTTCGCGTTCACTCCCCGTTGAATTAATATTGCAAAACGTGCCAGGGCCATCAAACACTCGGGTGATGGCGTATACATATAGGTAGAAAAGAGAGCAAGAGGGGGGCGGGCCATACAGGATGGAGCGCGGGCGCGCTCGTTAATGATGCAGGCCAATCAGCGCAATTAATTACCACAGGGCTCCCAGCTTCCCTCTCTCTCTCTCGGCTTAGCGAAAAACACAAATTAATTTCCTTAGCTCATGAAAATTAACGCGTGGCCGCAATGTACGCGTGCGGTGGCCGATGTGGGAATGAGCCTTCGCGGACTTTTGGTCGATCCTCCGTTGTTTAGTTGTACGTTTATTTGCGTTTGGTTGTGATTTTTACCGCCACCAATGACAAATTATGAATGCGAAATCATTCGATTGGAACTGAAACTCATGGCAAAAAGATGAAGAAAAAATGCACAGGCACCAAGGGCTGAGTTTTTTTTTTTTTTTTTTTTCAATTCGAAAGAAAAAAAAATCAAGAAAAATCTTTATTGCCTTCGAAAAAAGGTACAGTTTGACGGGGAATGAAAAAAAGAAAAAAAACGTAAACCTGCACGGGCACAAACCTTTCGAGCCCATGAAAACAAACGGACCAACCCACCGCAATGTATAGATTAAGTAACGCAGCTCTCAATCGCCGTGCACAGAAGTCGAAAAAAAAAAAGGAAAAAGGAAAAAAAAAACATGTTGGGGCGTGGGCGAGGAAAACTCGAGGTGGCACCCGAGCAATTATCGATTGGCCGTATCGGAAAACAAAAAGTGTACAGGCTTGGAAGGAAAAGGAGAGACAAGAGGTCGTAAATAAATTTGGCGGCCCCGAAATCCACTCAAGATCTCAGATTAGAGTTCGCGCGGCTATATAGAGTATTAGGGGCCTGCCCTTTTCCATCCCTCATCATCAGAGAACTTGCGCTCTCGGGAGTATCTCTGATCCAATTTATCTGTAGCCGCACCGGGTGTCCGTACGAATGTGGCTCTCGTACGCATGTACATCACATCACAGTACCAGAGCATATTATATACACGTTTGACGCTATGAAAAAAAAAAAAAAAAAAACAAAGAAAATTTAATGATTTTTTTTTTTTTTATTCACTATTGCATCACCAGAGGGACACCTATAGGAAACAGTTGAGGAAAACCGGGTTAGCCGTAGCGTATATGTATATCAGCACGCGCGACGAGCTTGCGAGCGTCGGAGGGACACAGCTCGAGGGGAATCTAATGAGAGGGAGAGCGCCGCTAATGAGCATAACGAGGTAGGTAGATATGGTTGGATGTTGAACCGAATTTTCGGATAGGTATACGCGTGTGTATATGTGAACACGAGGAGTAAGTACATGTGTAACACATAGTGTTGTACGTATAACGGCCAAAGGGAAGAAGAAGGAGAGACATCACTGCGGCGTCCGAAGGGGGAGCTCTGCTGGACCGAGTGAGCCACTTAGCGACTTATCACGTAGTTACCTAATCTGTTTATCCCGACGAGTGGGGGGGGGGGATGTACGGCGCAGTAACGCGTGTGCATCACGTATGTGTTGTACACCTCCATCACGTCCCCAGGGCCGTCTTCGTCCGACCGGCCTGTACCTATAGCAGTTGTCTGTCTGTGTCTCCGTGTGCCTATACGTCCAAGTCTTTGAAAAATCACGAGTCATTGGGAAGACTCACAGCAGACTCAAAAACCTACTTGTCCTCGTGTGGGTGGCCATTATTTTTAACTTGCTATTGTCCGTCTAGTTTTACCTACCCCCTTTTTTTTCATCCCGAAAGCAAAAAAAAAAAAAAAAAAAAAAAATCAGGAAACGGGCTAACTGCTTCGAGCACTGATCGAGTCGTTAAAAAATACCCTAAACAACGGATTTTTAGTTTACCCTCAAGGCGTGCGCTACATACATCATTTGCAGGATGTATACACCTTGAAAAAACCTTAATTTCCCTCTTTTCTGATTTTTAAGAGGTGGAATTATATTTTTATTTCCTAAACGAAACTTTGGGTTTGGAAAAAAAAAGTAAAGTAAAAAAAGTAGGAAATCGAATCGATACGCGCAATGTTGAAAAAGTAACGTTGTACTCACAGGGGTGTGTGGGGGCGAAGGGATACTCGAGGGTAGGTGGTAGCCTCGGGGCCGGCAGACCCGAGGGGCAGTGGTAGCAGAACATCCCTCCAGCCCTCGCGGCCGCCCCCCCGCCGGCCCCGGGCCCTCCGCTCAGCTGTTGATGTTCCTGCTGCTGTGGCCTCTGTTGCTGTTGCTGTGCATGAACCGACCCAATCTGAAACCAAAAGGTGCTTTTGTCAATCTTTTTATCATTTACGTCCACAAATGGTCATCCCAACCGCCGAATCGAATTATAATCCTGTAAGCATTTCACAGGGCTTTTATTTTGAACATCCATTTTATATATAGGCATTCGTTGTCGAAGCAATCAAATAGATCGATACGCGTGTCAACGACAGTGACCATTTCAAACTTTTTTTTTTCTGATCGAGCAATCAAACGTAAAATACACAGTCTGCAGTTACATGGGCAATATCGCATCACAAGGAAAAAAAAAAAGGAAACCTTATGTATGACACACATTAAAATCAATTATGACGATTAATAAAATACCGAGCGGGAGGGAGAAAGGGAGGAGGAGCGGACCAGCAAGTGCGCGCACGTGATGAAGATTAACTGCGATTGTTTTAATCAAATTAAATTCGACGCAGACCCTCACGCACGGATCCACATATATTTACGCCGCTCGACGAATTTAAGCGCTTCATTTGTGTGCTCCGTGTTGGTTCAATTATAATTATATGCTAAACGTATGAAAAAAAAATCCATCAACCACCAAACCGATCACGAATAAGGAACACCCCGAAAATACGTAAGTATACGTATAGTGATGAGCATATATGTATATATATGTATATATATATATATTCGTTTGCGTGGGCTTTGTCATACAGTATTACGTATATACAGGTACACACACTCGTAACAATAATAGAGTGCGCGTTAGTTGGACACTTGTCTCGTCGCTCTCGTATATAGGTATTATGGAACTGTACACGCCGAACTGTAGGAGAGGGTCGCGCGTGGGTGTGCGCCCCGACGTTACAATATCCGTATACATATACACACATGGATGATGGCGGTAAGAGTAGCACGGAGCAACCCCCGAAACGAGTAGATAACACGTCGATCCCCATTAGGTGTAGGGAGTACATATACACACCGTCCCCTCATGTACACTGGCTTCGGTGGTGGGTGGGTGTATACGTAAGGGAGGCAGGATTCTAAACTCGCGTAAATAAGTAACGAGGGTATTGAAGCCATCACTCCTCTCGCTCTGGAACTTAATAAGCCGAGAGTCGTCAATTTGTAATGTGTCGAGACTGCCTGCCTGCGTGTACTACCGACCATCACGTGGCTATACGCTGGGTACACACACACACACACACACGAGCCTTTACGTATAACCCGCATCTCTCTCTCTGGCCGTATCACACGCGGGGAGTGAGACACACACACAGACTCTGGGGGGGGGGCTTTGGCTCTCGGCACATGAGAAAGTAGCGGCGGCTTGCGAAGGGACAAATTGAATTTTAGATCGCAAGCGCGCGCGCAGAGTCCGCTCGCTCACGCAGATGATACTAATTGAAATTTGAAATTGATATTAGAGAATTGCTACTGCTATATATTCTGCTGTTGTTGTTGTTGTTCTCCTCCTTCTTCTCTCGTTTACTCTATCGCTCGCATAGGTATTCCCTCTGATGTTCGGGTCCATACAGGCTCTCTGTATATGATGATTTTCAACGATTTTCAACGCATCATCCCACACGGATAGAAATCGTCGCTCTCACGGACAACCTGGTGCACGTATCAAATACACATGTACGTGTATGACATCATGGACCATCGATTCGTGGGACAGCTCTCTGCTTTCACCCGATAAAAAATAACGTTTTTTCCAATCTATGAACGTTTTACGTGCAACAACGATTGAAAAAACATTTATCCCTTGACGAGTCATTTTCAATTTTCGAGGTCTTCCTCGATAGATTTACCCAAAGAAAAATATACCCGAGAAACGAGAGGAGCAATAAGAACAAAAAAAAAACCACACCAGAGATAGATAGAACCTCGACGACGGTCGGCCCCACAGTGCGATCACGGCAAAAGGAAGACGATCGGATTATAAAGCCCCGAGGCAGATGTTCGATTTGAAACACGAGACACGCGCGCACACGACGCGGTGATGTACATATACACGCGTGGAGCCAAAAATCACATTGAATTATTAACAGAGCGGCTATCTTAATCTCCTCTCCCGGCTGCAATGCCTACGAGCTCCGTGTGCTCACCTACACACACAGTCCCTTTCACGTTGTACTGTATAATATTATGTACAATCTTAAAAAATTACGCCGATTTTTGTGTCCGTTGGTGGTGCGGCCCACGCTAAACCAAATCACCACAATCTGTCGAGGGAAGCGCGGACACGCGGCCAAATCGAATCGAAGGCCCGGAAAATTGGCCCCTGCACCGAAGAAAAGTTACACGCACATAATTATAATCCACGGGGCAAACTCCGTAATCGGGGCACACCGGCTAAGCACGCGGGAGAAGCCGCTCCCGAAATTTGATCGATGCACCCCCCCCACCCCTATGTACATTATAAATACATAGGCACACGCATCAAAGGGCTCGACCTGCTTGCGGCTGAATTTTCACCCACTCCTCGGGCGTATCCTTTCGTCCGTATATATTTGTATACGCGTGTTTGTGCACACCCGTCTCGTCGTGTATACTCTCTTTGCGTAATAGCCCGAGCCACTTGTGCTCGGGATACAATAACAAGAGCCCATATATATATACCCATCCCCCCTTATACTCTTATACCATGTGTTCTCATAAAAACCTTATAGTCGCGTCGGTGGTGGTGGTCGGCGCGTGCCCGGGGGTTGTCGAATGTGTACGGTGGAAGAAGAAAAAAAAAAAAAAAAAAAAAAAAAAAAAAAAAAAGTAACGAGTCCAACACTGGCGTCCCGTCGTTCTCTTTATTTCGCGCTCGCGTACCCTTTCGACAGAAGGGACCAAATGGACCGGGACTAATCCGAACGACTTGCGCTCACGTACGTACTCTCACCCCCTTCCCTCGTGGTTGAACTCTTACGTATGTACACACACATGTATAGTTGTTTGCTCGGTGAACGAGACTGAAACTATGAGTGTCCCTTATACATACATGCATATACATGTTTGCTCAATGCACGTGTGTATGTGTAGTACTTGGGCTATTAGGGGTACGTGTATAGAGTGCCAACAACTATCCTGTACTTACTTACGCGCCACAAAGATAATGCCAGCACACACACACACCGCAGTGTGTTTTCATTTCACCGCTCATCCGATTGCCCCTCCGGTGTAGTGCATAAGCATCATGTCGCTCTCATTATTTCTCGACACTTGTTACCGTGCTTACTTACAACATTGTTGTGGTTTTCACAGTGGTATTACATGGTGTATTGCAGGTGTTGAGAGAGCCTTAATTATATTATCGTAGATTTAATTTTCTTTCAAGAGAGATACCGCTTGGACGGGAGAAATGTTTCTCTGGTGGATTTTTTTTATGGATACACCCCTCACGAGTGAACTATGTGTAATGTGTAAATTGCGCGCATTATATACACTGATGCAAAAATATTGCGATTCAATAAGCTCGATTTGGTTTGATTTGTGCGTCGATTGAGCTCAACGTTGCTGCCACGCTGACGTCGATCGAAAGGTCCCTTGCACATAAATATATGCATTTGCGTGTGATAATGCCATACACAGCGATAAAGCTTATAACATTTTTATTATTAACTGGCCGAGGTTTAGCAGGGATTTCAAAGTATACACAAACTACGTACCACAAGGTTTTCAACGCAAGGGCTTATTGGGTCTAAAAATGGCACCCAGATTGATAATAACGGTATCCCTGCCTATGAATTGACTTTTAATTCAATACAACCCCACACGTCGTCGGACTCAAAATATTACTTGACGTATATTTGTTTTTTATTTTTTTTGCCTCAAAATATACCATTAAAACTTGTTTTTAATGAAACGTACACGACGTTTTTTCGCATAACCGCCCGCACAAATATGCAATAAAGAGTGCCATGTTCTCTGTATGCATAGCTCCTCATTTTTAATCGTTCAATTGCCGTGATGGTTGACAGTCCCAGTGAAGCACTCGTACTTGTAGTATCCATGTATATAATTATTATGTACGGTGTCATCGTGAGGCGCACGTTAAATGTGTATACCGTCTCCCGCTGACGTCAACATTCAATAATTCGACACGCGACGACTATACCACGCAAGTGTACGCATGGTCCAATAATATCTCTCTCTCATTTCATGGGACGCGATATGTACGACGCGTGTGTATATATATAACCCAGCGTTGCGCGATTCCCCGCAATTAAAACCAATGGCAATACCCATACACAATGTGGATTGAATGTTTATTTTCATCATCCGCGAAAAAAAGGGGGGGGGTTGGAGAGCCCAGATTGTCGTGTAAGAAAACAGCGAAAGAGAGAAGAACAAGTGAAGGGAAAGGGAGGTGGTTGGCGACAGAGGGTCGAAACAAGGGTGTTGGGATGGGTAAGCGAGTTATCGACATCTGTTGGATGAGAAATCGAACGCGAAGAATCGAGTGACGAGCCGTGCAAGCATACATACAACCAAGCCGCCAATTACGGCTATACACGCGCGCTTACCATCACATATATATTAGCGCTTTTCGCTTGATGTCGTACATGCGGCTTGAGAGTACTATGCGTATCACCATGTACAGTATATTATACTTACACAAGTGCGCGTGTTCGTAAATTTCTTATTAGCCACTTTGTGTATATGTATACAATACTTGGAGCTATATTGAGGTCGCCCCGATGAAAATGCTGCCACGGAATAATTGATCGTGTCGTCGGTGCGGATTTTTGTCCTTCGTTCGTCGACCCTCGGCTTGTCGTGTAAGATGTCGTGTGGACTTTGCGCTGTTTTATATACGAGTGCTTTTGTACGAGATGTCTCTCTTTTTTTTTTCTTCAAACTATTTGGTTAAATGATTTGCCCTTTTGACAATACGCGAATACGCGATAAATGCCACGTGGTTATATATACGGCAAAGAGGCGTTGGACACCTCAAAACATGCCGAACT